TTATTATTAAGAAATACAAGTAAAGGCCATTTATTTCGACAACTGGCAAAAAAACAAAAAAAACAGAACCCATATACATATATAATATTATTTTTAAATTCTGACAGCCTTGCAATGTTCAAAATTGTTTTAGTTACTAACCGTACCTGCTGTAATTAAATCCCTATAATGTTTTATTGGTGTAACTGTAAAGTGAATGCCACCAGATGGCTGTAAACATGAAATGTGAACGAAATTTATTTTAAAGCCATCTTCGTTATAACGAGCCCTTATATATTGCTAATTAACTAAGTGTTAACCCTAGACTTGGAGACAGTTAATATATAGGAAACAGAGAGTGATACAAACACCACTTCCATAGACCACCCGGATTTGATAGCCACACAACGCTCAGCACTTGTGGTATAGGATTTCACTATATAGGGGAGACAAGAGTGGGGAGAGGTATTTGGTGCGGTTGCCATAGTTGACTCCAGTAGATCCTAACCAACAACCCTGAGTCGAAGTATCAGGTTTCCAGCAGGAATAACTAACTAACGATTAAACAAACTCAGCCACTTCAAGAAGACAAGGTGAGGACAGAAACAGTCCACCTTTGGCCCAACGTTCTTTAATATTTGTCGAAGTTTCGGATTGGTCTTGGTGGACTGAACTGTAGAAAATACACGAAAGTTTAGCATAGAATTAACGGCCTTTCCAATCAGGAGTTGGGGTCAACGAGAAATATAATGGGGTCAATTCTAAAATATATCTATAATTAGGTTAATGGACAGCATTAGCTTGGAAGGAGGGGGCAATGACTTATTAGGGGGACCAGGCCCTCTGCCTCCCCCGCTGACGATGGCCCTCCTTATTTATGGCTGTGGACATAAAATCAAAGACAAGATATCTGAGGATATATGTAAAAGTGTGTAAAATAACACAGGCCTGCGAATTTAAACTTCATAAAAACCGTTTTGGCTTTAATAATGGATTTTTCATAATTCAGCTTTTGAAAATAATATTAATTTTTTTCTATCACGTAAGGATTTTTTACAAATCGGGAAGAAGAAAAAGCTCTTACTTAGATCAAATTTACAACAAATTTACCACAAATATAACATAATTTACACATTCTCTTGTTGCTATAGCGACTAATAAATAATATTGAAAATAAAAAAAATAATGTCAAAGCGCACGCACAAACAAATACCACACAGAAAAGGCACGTCATGTGGCCTGTTAATGGTTTATATACTAGCGGTATGTTTCTCATGGGTTCTAGAACGATCGATAAAACTCTCACGTCGTGATTGGTCCATAGAAATCTATAGCTAGTGGTTGTCAACATTTTAAGCATAACAAAATGTGACCGAATTTCGATGAAAATGATTCACTTATGTAAAAGTACATATGGCGTTTTGTGAAAAATATGTATGTGATGGAGAAAAATGGATATCATTTTCGGATTCAGTGTACAGGAATTACTGTAGAACATTTAAACATTTCAAGGCAGTAAAACCATCACCGGCCTGTGTTATCAGGAAGGAGCAGAGAGAGTTGTAAATTCTCTGCTTTTGACCAATTATTTGGTCTATATGTTCAAGAAACATATAAATAAAACTTCAGAAATATTTCCAGCTTTTACTGGAGATGCCTTGGTGAAAAATAGATGATTTGTCTCCATATGTTGAGAAAATAAAACAAAATTTCAAAACATTTTCTACCTCATATTTCACACGTCTTTCAAAGTTTAAACTTTTGGCAAATGTTATGTTCAAGCTACTGTTGAGAAACAAGTTTACTTAGATCCATATAAGTTTTATTGACTAAAGGTTTGTCAATCACGCATTCCATGATGTTGTTATTATTGTCATTTAGTTGAGAAAAAAGTTTACTTAGATCCATATAAGTTTTATTGACTAAAGGTTTGTCAATCACGCATTCCATGATGTTGTTATTATTGTCATTTAGTTGAGAAAAAAGTTTACTTAGATCCATATATGGTTTATTGACTAAAGGTTTGTCAATCATGCAATATTTAGCGTTAAGCTTTCAGTAAGCAGGTCGGATATTATGTCTAGATTAAGGATCGTAGTCAGATCATCAGCTGTTGAAGCACATTGGAAGGTTTCTTAGTACTATAACAGATTAAATGTTATATTGAGATTAAGGATCATATTTAGATTAGCAGCTACTGAATTACAATAATCGATTTCTTATTACTATAACAGATTAAATATTATATTTAGATTAAGGACATATTTAGATTAGCAGCTACTGAATTACAATAATCGATTTCTTAGTATTATAACAGATTAAATGTTATATTTAGATTAAGGATCACATTTAGATTAGCAGCTATTGAATTACATTAATCGATTTTTTAGTATTATAACAGATTAAATGTTATATTTAGATTAAGGACCATATTTAGATTAGCAGCTACTGAATTACATTAATCGATTTCTTAGTACTATAACAGATTAGATATTATATTATATTTAGATTAAGGACCATATTTAAATTAGCAGCTACTGAATTACATTAATCGATTTCTTATTACTATAACAGATTAAATATTATATTATATTTAGATTAAGGACCATATTTAGATTAGTCAGCTACTGAATTACATTAATCGATTTCTTAGTACTATAACAGATTAAATATTATATTATATTTAGATTAAAGGTCGTATTTAGATTAACAGCTACTGAAGCACATAGGCAGGTTTATTAATCTTATCTCACGATATATATATATATATATATTGAACGAAAAGAAGAACTACTGGCGAATCTTGAATGATCATTACTAATACATGGTCTAGATAACCACGATTATGACAAAAACCGAGGTCGGGGAAGTTTATGGAGGAGCCGATAGCCAAAACTTACAAAAAAAGGAATGAAAAGCTTAAAAGATGACCACTATTTTGTTTATCACAGATTTATATTTTTCAGATTTATTTTAATGTAAAAATGTGAGCAGTGGCTGTTGTGTGAACCATATAATTGGACCCAGAAAATTAACGAAATAAGTATAAGTTGGGTGTCATAATTTTGATAAAGTGGCAGTGTGCTAATTTCCTACCAGAAGTTGTGTTCACACTGTTTAGACACGCGATAACGTTTGTAAAATTAACGAAATAAGTATAAGTTGGGTGTCATAATTTTGATAAAGTGGCAGTGTGCTAATTTCCTACCAGAAGTTGTGTTCACACTGTTTAGACACGCGATAACGTTTGTACACTTATCACTAGGGGTCGCTGACCACTAAATATCAGCACACATAAATTACGTCAGAAAGGAGCATAGCTACATTTATTTTACCTGTTCGATATATTTATAGCTTCTCAAGTGGCTTATTTCTTCTGTTTTGATGCGTGTATCAGTTGATTATACAGTCGACCGATAGTAGCTATCAACACTCATCAGCAGACAGTGACAGATGAACGTTACAAAAACTCTAAGAAACAAAAACATTATCCGCAAAATTAGATCCATTTCACGTGATCGTTTCTAAACAAATTCTGAAGACTTTCAACAGTTACGGCTATTTGATCTTGTATTTGCTTTGATTCTTACATGGTCTAACCATCGAAATTTGCCTCTTTTAAAGGTGACGTTGGTTTCGAATTTTTTGAAATAATACCTATACAGGAAACTCATTGCATTTTAAGGAGGACATTTTATTGAAATAATACCTTCAGACTTGTTGATCTTTAAGGAGAACCTTCTATTGAATAAGTAAGGATTTTTTTTAATCTGATCGCCATGTTTAGTAGATTAAAGTAAACATAACATGCAAAAGTTTTTTGATTATCATAATTTTCTGGACCCTCAGGAGGATACATATATGAAGATAAACTTTTCTGTGGTGCTTACAATTTGTTTAACCCAAGAATTACCGATGGCCATTAGATTTCTAAACACTTTTTTTGTTTCAAAACTCTTTATGCACAAAATTACTTGTGGGTCCATAACTTTGTTGGCTACAGGGCTCCTAGTAACAGTTGATACACACACACACACAAAGTTTAAACAGTTTTAAAACTTTTCCCAAATTACTGATTCACCTAATTGTTTGTGGGTCCGTGACTTTTGCCAGTTACAGGTTCCCTAATAATATACGAATCACATGGGATCCATGACTTTTGTCGGTTACAGGTTCCATAATAATATACGAATCACATGGATCCATGACTTTTGTCAGTTACAGGTTCCCTAATAATATACGAAGCACATGGATCCATGACTTTTGTCAGTTACATGTTCCATAATAATATACGAATCACATGGATCCATGACTTTTGTCAGTTACAGGTTCACTAATAATATACGAATCACAAAAACAACTACATAAAATAAATCAATAATTCAAGTAACCCTACTATTTACGACTGGACTATCTATGTATTTTACATTTAAAAAATGAGTATTTCAGACAGATTTGTAGTCAGAGAAAGACGTAACAATACTCAATACAATGCAACACGGGTTTGAATTCCCGTCATCGAACATGCTACCCCTTTCAGCAGTTATAAAGTGACGGTCAATCCCATTGTTGGTTTTGGTAAAATAGTAGTCCAAGAGTTAAAGGTGGGGGGAGGGGTATTGACTAACTTCCCTCTAATCTACCACAGCTAATTTAGGGACGGCTAGCTCAGATAACCGTCGCGTAGGTTTGCGCGAAATTCAAACCAATAACACACACAGACACACACACACACATATACGTATACATGTGGATGTGTATAAATACATATTGTAGATAAAGCTGATTTTTTGTATATTGAGAATATATAAAACATTCATCAACTAGTCTCTCTGACTCTCAATCAATGTATACTCACATCACCTTGGTCATCTTTCTGTTGGCTGTAAGCCAGTGTCATCAAAATCTTTCACTCAATCTAGGAGCTACTTTTTCCTGACGGACCACGATTCGAAATACAGAGAGAAAGAAAATAAAACGGGGTGAATTAGGTGAAATGTGCAGTTGTAATCTGTGTGTATCATATATTAATGAAAGTTTCGTGCTCTAGGAATTCACAAATTACATTAATTGCAAATGAAGATTTGATTTCTTTAACCCTCATTATTTACTTATTTCGTTTAATGTATCTAACTTACCCTGCATCGCTGTAACCATAGATTATTGCCGTTGTGCAATATCGCGTTAACATATGTCGTGTTTTGAGCGGCAGTGGAATGTAAGGTCTGTCTGGTTTTTTTGGCTTCTGTTTGCACCGATTTTAAGTATCAACTTGATGTAGAATGGCTGTAATGGTACTCCACATTTCAACACCTGTGCAGCAATTCAAAAATATCAAATACCACGTTGTCTAAGAAAATATAGCAATGTTCTTTCTAGTCTCGCACCGTGCTTTTCTCCCTGAATAACTCCTGTGTGAAATCTTAAAGCTGTCGTTGTTCCTGACGAACAGTAACGCTACACTGCCATCATAAAAGACACGCCGCTCGGAAATAGCGTAAGTTAGTTCTGTGTTTTCAAATGGCCGACTCTGATGAAAGTTCTTAGACATTTTGCTGTAGGTGCTACAATGGCGTAAAAGCTTGCTGAGTTGTTGGCATGGCTTAAAACTTTTAACTCCAAGTGGCGAGTTGAATTTGGCTACACTTGCCAAGTATTTCAGGATCTAGGCGTTTGAAAATAAAAAACGATGAAGGATTAGTAACAGAAGTAACAGAATGTGTATAGAAACTTCTCTCTAAACGACAGATTTTGAGCCCTTTTGCTGACTTAGATTGTTAATTTTAGTTTCCGCTTTTGAAATTTCATTCCAAACAGAAAATGTTTCAGTGTTGGTATACTCACGCGTGCCCTCAAAGTTTGGCAAACGATACACACACTAAACAGCAATGTTTGAATTTCACGCTCCCCTGTTTAATCTTTGGTATACGTTCGAATATCGAATAATAATTATCACTGTTGCACGTACTAAACCTTGAAAAACAAATTTCTGTATTGAATTTTCCTTAAGTAAATTTGGTAATTTTTTTTTCATTTTTTATGATAACCACATTTATGTAAACACATTAAAAACTGGGATAAGTATATATTTTTTCTTTACATGATACATGATCGTATTAATTTTTATATTAAAATCGTATATATATATATATATATATATATATCGTTCTCGTTTGTTTGGTTTAGTTTGAATTTCGACGTAAAGCTACACGAGGGCTATCTGCGCTAGCCATCTCTAATTTAGCAGTGTAAGACTAGAGGGAAGGCAGCTAGTCCTCACCACTCCACCGCCAACTCGTTGGCTGCTTCTTTACCA